TAATATTGCTGTTTGGCCTATAAAGGGTAAAAATTCTAAGGTGTTCCATTATTTTGAGGTAATAAGGAGAAACTGTCAGCAAAATTTCATTTCTACAAAAGTTGTGAAAATGACATGAAATACTATTCAGAAAATTTTATAGACATTACATAAATAAACAGTAATTTTTGAATGCTTCTGTAAATTTGCAATCGAAGTTAGTTAACGTCGATTTTTGTCTTCTTTGGAACCCGTTTTAAATTTGAGCAAGTAAGCTGCCCATCATTGCCTTTATTCTGCGCTAGAGCAATTAATTTTGGCCAGTTAACTTAGACCCTATTCGGATTGTGCAAAAGTTACGTTTATGACAGTTGGGATTGGGTACAATTGTAATTACATAAATTGGCATGCGAACACGGACGCAGCTGCTAATAACTTTTTCAAACTTTTAACAAATTATGTACCTAATTATATCAAACATCTGAATTGCAAAATAGATAGGATTCTTCAATTTGATACGAAATAATTAAAACAGGTCTGTGACTGATTTGAACCGCAACGGCGACCTGCGTCGTTGTTTTAACTACTAGCGGTCCCCAAAATGGTGAGACATTCTTTTCGCAACTGATCTCAAATTTAGCTTGATTTCTTGGCTGAACCTCCGTCTAAATGTAATAATCTGATTTATTTAAACGATGTTTCCACAGTGGAAGAGCCCCCAGCTAAGGTTATGCGCGAGGGACCCAATGTTGAGTTGCGTTTTCTCATTTCCACCAAGGTGTGTTGATTTTCGTAGTGTTGACAACTTTAGACCGCCGGTCTTATTATCGGAAAGCGTGGGGAGAACATAAAGAAGCTTCGTGACGAGGTGAGGCTTTTACCGTCACTTCCGCATTTCTTCCGCTGCAACTTGGTCCCGTGCTAACTAGAGCGTTACCTCTTTTATTTCATATTACGTCCCATTCTCCCCGTCCTTGGCCCGCCCGACCCCGACATTTGTTCGTTCCCAATGGTACCATTCCCGTCACCCGTCCCGTCCCATACCGTCTACCCCTATCCGCACCTTCCCTCCCGCCCTGAATATGCGATCGGCTGATTTGTTTACATGTTGGTGCGCTCCCAACAGTACCCTGTCACCATTAATATCCCTGATAGCAACGGACCCGAAAGGTATAGTGTCTGACGCCTGGTGTTATGGTTGTTCACGAGGTCGTTTTGGTGCACTTGGTCGTAACTCGCGCTGTTTCAGGATTCTCATTTTAGATGGGGACGTGAACTCCGTGATCGAGATCATGCACAACACGTTGAATCGGGTAAGTCGGACATTCAAGACCTAACCGTTGGCAGCAAGCAATGGCTTCGCAGGAGGACTGTGTGGATGTGCGCCTGCTTGTCCACCAGAGCCAGGCCGGATGCATCATCGGCAAGAGTGGTCTAAAGATAAAGGAATTACGAGAGGTAGAAGCATCCTTGAGCTCTTACACGAATCCTTTAGCAATCCATCTTGAAGACTCTCAAAGTGTACCAGATGCTCTGCCCTGATTCAACCGACCGTATTGTGCAGTTGGTGGGCAACGTCGCGCACGTGATTAGCTGCTTACAGGCGATTTGCGAATTGCTTGAGGTAAGGTGGCGTTTGGGTGAGCTAATGCGTGTTATTAAAGGGAGCTCCAGCAAAAGGACCGCGGCAGAATTACGATGCTCGCAGTTTCAACGAGGCTCTTGCTGTGGAGTACGGTGGGTGGTGTGGCATTGGCATTTCTTCAACAGGCGGCAACTACGGAGCCCAACGCAGCAATTTTGTTAACAATACCTGCCCTCAGGTGGGTTGGCGTTTTGTCTGTTACGCATAAATGGGGATTTTGAATCACGTCAGTTTTGGTGGATGGTTTTAGCACATGAAGTTGCGGTGGCCTGGTGCTTGCCTGAGGATTTTGTGAGTGGCGGGACACAGTGTGTCACATGTGCTGCTTAATTGAATTTGGTGGTCACGTTTTGTCTCGTCAGTAGTGCCCGCTAAAGTAGTTCTGCTGGGCAAGTTTGTGGTCATGTTTTAAGTGAGTTCCGCATTGTAGAGTTCCATGCTGGCCGCTGGTTTGTTCAGTGGTGGTGGTGCGAACCCTCGGAGTGTGACTCAGGCGGCCGTGGTAAGCCAGGCCATCGCCTCGGGCATTCCGCACGCGTCAGCGGCCGCGATGTTGGCGGCTACGAGCAGTCAGAACCACCCAGGCAATCCCACGTCGGGTCCGGCGGGCGATGCCGCAACCGCCGCCGCAATGATGGCAGCCGGCATGATGCGCGGGTGCGATTTGCGTGTCTCTTATTCCTCTCTGACTAGTTTTAAGTGGCGATTGCTGTCTTAATTGTTTCATGCAATAAGGTTAAGGAGTTGTTTAGTGCGTTGAAATTGTGGTATGCTCAACGCAAGTTAGTCGCACCGAGTCGTTGGGATAGTTGTTGTGTTCGCGTTTATGCTTGCTGGCTTTACCTGCCTAGGGTTCCTGCGACTGTCAGCATGAATATCATCGCGCCGACGACAACCACCACGCAAGTGTCCATCAACAACAGGGTAAGTTTAAATGGCCTTCGATTTGAGAGGTTCAAGCAGTCGCATGGGCTGACCTGTGGTGTGATATTTGCTTGTTATTTAGCTGGTTGGTGCCATAATGGGACGTGGTGGCAAGCGGCTCAATCAAGTGCGGTCGGTGTCGGCTGCTGAAATAAAAGTTAGTCCATTGGACCCCTGCTCTGAGGATAGGATAATCACGATAACGGGCACCCCTGAACAGATACAGAGTGCTCAGTTCTACTTACAACTCTGGTGAGTCGCTTTGTTGTTTTTGTAGCTTTATCAATGCCTGATCCCTAGCCACTAGACGGGTGTAGGTGTTGTGTGTGTAATTTATGCGCTCAAGTCAACGCAGAGTCCGTGTATACCTCTACCAGTTGTCACTTTGGTGTCTGGATTTTGTGCTCTATGTGCTGTTGATTTTTGGTGCCTCTAGTTGTGGCGTCAGCATTGGTTGATGTGCTCGTTCACCGTGTTCGGCATGTTTTTAAGGCGGTAGCAAAATGAAGGGGATTTGAACTCCTTAAGTGGTTGATGGGAAGAATCGTTGGGGAGCATGAGGTCGCGGAAGCAGCGTGTTTGCTTCATTGGGGCCCACTTTTTCCAATTTGCCAATGTTATTGCTAGTGTCTGTCGATAAAGTTTACGCGCCACATCGAGGAATGCTGCTACGTAGATTCAGACAAATTTTCGTCAGTCGACATTTTGCGTAACGAAAGTTTGTGTGTTGTGGCGGATTGTGCCTGAGAATAGCATGGCGCGTGGTTGAATACTGTCTCCTCTTTTTCAGCGTGAAGCGTTACAACGAGCTGTATTAAGCCGACAAGTCATCACACCGATCCTCCAACTCCTCATCGCTGTACAGTTCTCTCTCCTTTTAAGGACTCGATTATTTATCAGACTCGTGCGATAATCATAAGTTTTGAGGTTTTAAATAAAGTTGTTGCCAACAAGTTCTGTTTGTGGTTTTTGTTAGCAGGCCTTGCTGGCCGATTCGTCGATGTTTGTTCAACTGGTAGACCTGTGGTGGATGGGTCGGCGTTTTGCGTCGCCAGTGTTTGGCGGTCATTGTGGGTGGTTGTCCCCAACGACGCTCGCCACAGTTCACGTCCCCATTGATCGAGTCTTGTTTCATTCTCCCGTAGTGCTGGTGGCGATCTAATTGCACTCCAGGTGACCCACATAGAGGCATATTTGAGGGTTTGTCTTGCTTGGGCCTGTTCAATGTCACGTGGGATTACCAGGGGGATTGTGTACTGGCGGTGGCAGTTGTAACGTTGGCAGGTTCACTCAGCGGAGGCTGCTTGGAGGGCGTGCCAGTGTCTCAAAGGAGTCTCTTTTGGTCGAAGAACCGATGTCGCAGGTGGGCAGCGTGGTTAAAGTGTGGCTGAGATTGCTGGACCAGTTATAGTGGACATCGGAGGAAGGTGTCTACTCAGTGTTGCTTATACATGCACCAGTTAAAGGTAGTAGAGTTTACGTTGCGTCGTGAGTTGACGTGTTGTTGTGGTGGGTCGTCGACATCTTTGTTCAAACGTCCTCTAGTTGGTTAGAACTCTAAGCAGGATGCTAACGTGAAGCATGCCTCGGTTGTGACCAGGGCCTTAGTGTTAATACTGGTAGCAGCCACGCGACCTTGCCAAATGCCAGTGAATAACGCTTTTTGATAAAATTGTTTTAACTGATTCTGAGGACTTCTGATGCAAAATGCACACGCAAAATGTTTGTTCACATGTTTGTAGCAAGTTATAGCTGACGTTATGCGCAAACGTTGTGCTAGTTGACAAGTGAAACTTTGTCCCTGCTTTCAGCATTGATGGAAGTCGGACCACGGTGAATTCGCAGGCACATGACACTTGTATTGATGTTCCCTGTGCAATTGCATTTTGCAAAATTGAAACCAGCTGACGTTTTGCATCCTTGGGCATGATTGTTCCAAGTCTGCTGATGCGACAAAGTCAGCACTGTGCGATGCTTTAAAGAAGCTATGAATGGTGAATTTCGATGCTGTATGCTAAGGCACACAATGCGAAGCACTAGTTTAACAGAGTTGTCGAACAAGTGTCAGTTTTGAACGATGTATGACTGAAGCCTGCCAATTATTGGAAACTTGAAATAAGGAAGTGAGAGTCTCGAATTGCTGGTTTGCAGACAGCTGCCCTTCGAATTAACTGTCATGTGTTATCTGTGTATATTTATTCACTGCAATATATGTTTCAACAAAATGTCGCCTGTTTGGGCAACGCTTCCATTGTAACTCTTCGAGTTTTAGTAATATACTCCTATTTAAATTTTAAAAGCAATTGTAATCAACAATCCACATTGCTTTCACTAGTATGCATGGCAAAGGAATATAGTGTACGCAGCGCTTCGTCATTTTTCTTGTTAGTTTGCAAACGCCAGCGTCTCACTTCAACAACACGCATGCAGTGAGCGAGGGTAAAATGGTAGCTGTCCTCTTGTTTAGGCACAAATTTCCTTTAAGAATCAACTGCAAAAGAAAGCACTCGACCCGTGAGTAATACCCTCTCGCCTTGAAGTAGCACAATGAAACCGTTAAGTTTAGACTGTGCTTATTCAAATTAACCTTATGCATAATTATATTTGTATCGTCTGTACTAATGAGCATCCCGCGTTACTCTGGAAGGACTTTATAATCGACCCTGCCTCGTAGACTCCTCAGGACACAGAATTTGCCAGCTTCGTACAAATTAGTCGATGTTGGGTCGTGATTTTGTGCCTCTAATTTTGAACGTTCGCCATATGATAGGACAACATCCAGAAATGTGTGTGAACGTTTGTGCTGTAGAGTGTCCAATTAAGAATGATGCCTCAGCAGCTATGAAAAATGACAGGTTGTTGGCAATTCCAGGTATTAATGCGGTGGATATTTAGACTTATTTCTGCAAGCTGGACAATTTTTTAGTTATTTGAAGAGGATGAGAGCATAGAATTTGTCTGGATATTCGCTTAGGTTATGTGGCAAATGCAAACATAGGTCAGTATTGAACTCTGGAATATACACAAGTGTAACGTTTTTCAAAGGACCAAATAATCAACTTAGAGAAGCGTTAAATATGCACAAATATGGTCTGTAAGAGTAAAACCTTGACAAGTCGTCGAAAACATGGTTTCGTGAAAAAAAATTAACAATGCCTGAAATATTTCTTTGATAACATGATTAGTGTTCCTCCTAAGCGAGTTTTTCTATATGAAGTAGAAGTTACTGTCGGAATTATATATATTAATAAAATACAAGTTCATTTAATTAGCATTGTCATAAATACTATAAATTAGAAATTATGATTTGAATTTAAGAAGAAACCTCCACTTGATGATATAAATCAGATATTTAAATTGGTATATGCGTAAAGCTTTAAGAGTCATACTTTGTACTTACTGACCACACATAATTACGAAGTAGCATTGCTGTTCGTAGACTTTGAGAAGTTTGGTGGTTGTGTGATGGTGCATGTACAACTGGAACACTCTGATTAATTTCCGTTGGCGTCAATCAAGTGGGTTTGTATCCAAATGTCCAAAAACGACTTTCACTGAAATGCAGCTGTGTTCAAAATCGTCTGACTTTCAGCTGGAAATCAATCAAATGTTTTGGGAGCTAATCGCGAATTCGCTACAGGATCAAAAGGGTGCCAACCTTGAAAGATATGGACTAATTATCTTTTGCTCAGTTAAACAGTTCATTGCGAATGCACTTTGTCTCTTTATTGACTAACACATGTGGCCTGTTTTATGTAAATACTTTATATGTGTTTTGTTATTCGCATCTTGGTATTGCCCTATAAGTTCAGACTATGGTAAATTTATTGTTCTGTCTCCCTTTTCAAGAAAGTATTGATTTGGTAATATTTTATGCACATTTTTAAGCAATTAATATTAATAGCATGAATAGCATTTGTTGATGGAAATAGCAAATTAAGCTGTCGTGCTTAAATTTCAACAATTTCTCACAATTTTGTAAGCGATTTACTCGCAGTTTTCCAGGATGTATTTACAGATCAAAGTTAAAAAAAAATAACTGTCCTCCTATTCAAGCACAAACAAGTTTTAAGATACACCTAAACATCAGGTTACAAAATCAAACCTATAAGTTTTCATCTTGGCTTGATGACATCAATGTCATATAGACACAATTTTTAATTATAAGCACAGTTACGCATCTCGCTGTGCACTATTTAGTACGTTTGAATCGCCTTTGTTTCGCTGACTTGTCGGGATTCCGAATTTGCTAAATACATTTGAGTAAGCTTGGTTGTTATGTCAATATTTCATTATCTAGCGTTAATGAAATGTGATGAAAATGCCCAAAAATCTTTTGGGTGATTTATATCATTGAGCACACGTCTATTATAGTAGTTACATCTAAAAATGATATCTCAACGGCCGTGTAAGTGGGATCGTATATCGCTTTGTGTTAGATGATCAACTTTTTTAGAGACACTACGATTTGTTTAAAAATTTTGACAGGACAATTGCTCTTTAAATAACAATTTAGGCAATTGTAAGATTTCTGCTTTGATGCTGCAATCACTCTTAAATGGATGCAGGTTTCCGCAAACGTGAATGACACGAGTGCGTGACGATTAGGGGATCTTTGAATTTGATTGGTTAATGTGCCAGCTTTTGTGGGAATCTTCCCTCTTTTGTTGCTTTAATTATATTTTTTTAGCGCATATATTGATGACTTTGAGGAACCACTCAAGTGATCCTATTCTTAAAACGCAGTAATGATGTACTTCCAAAACAGGTCAGCGAGTCAGCATATCCATTTTAATGTAATGACAGTAGGATGTAATAATGTAGATGTGTGCTTCTTGCATAATTTTCCTCCTAAATTCAAAATAATCCAATTTAATAATACAAGCACTCGAATAATAGGCTGCTTAAAAATTGTGTCATCTTGAAGTATGCGAGTTCATTAGTTATATGACAAAGCAGAGTTGACCATAAAAAGAAACGAAATACGTGATAAGAACTAGTAATTCATGCTACTGAGGTACAGTCAAATAAATGTAAAAAATTTACTAGTCTTCATGCGTCGTTTTTGCTAATAATATTTCATTTTTGCCCTGAATTTACAGGTTTTAAATTTAAAAATGGTTAGATAAGTAAACATTACTGAATAAAAAAACAATTCGTTTGCAATATATCGTTTAACTGAGCAACAACAACTTTCAGCACCTGATTTTCAAGGTCGGCGAACATTTGATAACCTTCCGGTGCGATGTACTACTCCGTGACTGCTTGATTGATTTTTGACCACAGAATGGACGATTTTAAACGTAATTACATTTTAGGAGAAAAGATTGGAGAGTAGGCCTATTGTTACTTATAGGGTTATTTTTGCCTGTAGCGGAAACTTTGCGGAAGTTAAGGTTTGTGAATGCCGAAAATCTGGACAGAAGTTTGCTGCAAAGATTATCAAAATGAAGCAGAAAACTGTTTTTGGACATTATGATCCGAACGCACGTGGAATGACGCCACCAGAGGTTGAGCGTGAAGTTCAAGTTCTGCGTTCAATCGATCATCACACAATCGTAAAACTTCACGAAGTCTACGAACAGGAGGATTATTCTGTAATTATACTTGAACTGTAAGTGTAATACACCGTTTAATAGCGTTAGGTATGTGGGACGTCCACACAACAATAAGTTGTGCTACTTTCACATTTAGTCTAAATGTGTGATTTATCCAATTTTGACAGGCCATATTGATTTTTTAAACTTGCTGCAGGATATGGAAATGAGGTTATTCATGTATACATAAGTTATGCGATCATTGAAAGCCAAAGTAAATATATTTTATCACAAATAAATATTAAATATTCGTAACTCGAATCCATGAAGTCACGGTTATGCCGCAAGTGACTAAATTTTGTGGCAATTCGGAAATTGCCATGTAGCTTAATAGGGCTTTTCAAAATGTATACGTGTGTACTTTGTGTAGAATTTAAGATCAATTATTTTGCGTAACCTTACATTCAAATATGAGTGAAATACAATGAAGGTTGTTTGTTGGCATGCCGTTGAACTTCTTAGCTAGCTTTCGGGATTTCAACGGTATAGTCGATTATCTGCCACACTAGCATTTGAAATAGTGCTAGATATTTACCCATACGCGGCTATTGTGGAATCAATTTGTAGGCGGAATTACTACACTAAATGAGCACTCCGCAAAGTAAATTTATGAAAATTCCGTTTGCCAAAAGACCTACACTAACATCCTTGTCGTGCATAAGTGTGATAATGATTCGATCAAATAGTTATTTCTATGTAAGTTTTATGTGTTTAACCCCAGCTTGATGCTTAAATCTTTGATCATGCTACTCTTAATCACGATCGTGTGTCATGGTAAACTAATGCTTCATTTTGCAGTTATATTTTAAGAACCTTTGTGCTACATTTAGTGGATATTCATCTTTTAACTTTGTTCTGTAAGTAATTGTATTTGAAATTGGACACAGTCGCCTTTACAATTTGACAAGAAATCGTGAAATTGTACACTTGATAACACCCTTTTCTGTTTAAATTATTGAAAACTGTACGTATTGTTGATAATATTTTCCTTTTGAATTAAACAAAATTAAACTTGTAGTGTGCTGGAAATTGAATTAGGTAATTTATGGGGTCATCTAAAAAGAATTATTTGTTCCTTAAATTGAAACATTTCTTGCAATTTAAAGTTTTGTGTTATATGCTGTTTCTTTTACTGCGTCGCCTAATGCAGACTTCTTTCCAGTATCTGACTTGGTTCCACCTTGTTTAAATACACAAAACCCCCTCAAATTATTAATTTTTTAAATATAACTTCGCTGGAAATTTCGACACAGAGAGTGTGTTTATTCGAATTAACTGTGGTTTAAATCCCAAATTGTACAGTTTGCGTAAATAATTGCGATTGCGTTATTACGAAAATGTACTAATCCAAACACGTAACATATTTGCGTTGGTTTTTGCGTCAACTGCGCCGTAAATTTATATTTTTCAGTATTACTAGGATGCACACAATCTACAATAACTTGGGTTAAGTGTTTTCGTAAATAGATTTCTGGACTTGTGATTGTTTCCATTTAAAACTTCGCATGCACCACGGAAACAAATTAAGCGTAATTGTCTTAGAAGCTACCATCTTGGGGTTTGTGCTTTTGTACAAAACAAAATTTGACAGGATCTGCTGAGTCTGGTAAGTCGTACAGAGCTAAATAGAGTTGATGCTGATGGTTGTTTAGCAGCTTCGTCCTCCTCGATCAGCTGATGCTAATGGTCATTTCAGGTGGCAGTTGCATAAATGAGCAAGAAAGTGAATCGAGCAAAATGCTTGCAAATAGCTTAAAATGGCGTTGACCCGTCTAGGGTCACAAAATTTGTGTTCGGCGCGTACATTAAGCCAATCATTTGACTGAAAGGAAACATTGGTTACCATGTCAACTACAGTAGAGCGCCAGTCGATTCGAACACAGTTCTGACGTGGTTATCCAGACCGAACCACACCGAATGCTGTTAAGCTGTTTTCATGGAACTGGGTGTCTACAAGAGATGAGAACCGACTTTTTGGCGTTTTCAGAGTAACAGGCGGTGAACTGTTTGCTCGTGTCGCCGAATTCGAACGACTAGATGAACGCGAAGCCGTCTGCTTCGTCGCTCAGATCCTGCAGGGCGTGCACCACATGCACCAACTTGGGATTGTGCATCTGGACTTGAAGGTGAGTCAGTTTGCCTAATAGATGAAGGACACCAAAAAAACGAGGCATTTTACTCTGTCGAAACATGGCGTTTGTTGTGGAAATTAGGTACATATCTGTGCATTTTTGTGATCCAACCACTACTTTTTCAAAACGTTGTTAAGTGAAAAAATTGCCTTTTGAAAACATGCACATCGCCCTGCCAAAGTCTAGTGTTCTGTTGGCAAACTTTCGACCGTGATTCGGATTTTTTAATCTCGCCATCGAATACACATGCTGGCTTTCTGGCATTGGCAAAATTATTTCAGCTGGGGGATTAAATGCGAGGGTGCTACAAAATGCAATGAGATTTGTAATTGATCAAGATGGAATTTAAATCTGTGTTGCTATGTTCAGACGCCTCCGTAGGAAACGTTTGTCAAGGCGAAAATTCAAACGAACAAACACAAAAAGCCCGCGTTTCGTGGCGTCTGCCCCGATTAAAACGAACATGACTGAAGAATTTGGGGGAAACAAGTAAACTTAAGGCACGGGGTCAGTCATACTTAAAAAGCGTTAGTTACGAGACATGTAAATAATGAGCTTCGAATCGCATTTTTGTGGAAATGAACAAAGGCATGTCGTGTGTGTGGGTGTATTTTCTAATTTTACATTGAATTTTAAGCAACTTTCACGACAAATGGCATCCATCGTAACCCAGATTCATGTAGAAGTCGAAAATAAACGCACACATACACAGTTTTTTGTTTGGGTGCATGTATATTTTGGATTAGACGCCCTCAAATTCGGATAAAGTGATCTTCTTGAAAGCTGACATTTGGCGTCTTCGCCTGCGCCTAAGCATTTGGGAACGCGCATTCCTGCGATATATTTCCAAGCACTCTCTCAAACCACCTTTTTTCTGAATTCCGCCTAAATTGGTCGGGCAGTTTAATAAGGCTGTGTTTTGAGGGTACTTGGGTTGTTTAAGTCGAAGCTGCCTCTTTAAATCATCCGCTTTGACCTTGACACGACCTTTACCGAAAACTCCCGCGCACATTAAAACCACTCGCAGTCCAACACTTCACCATTCCGCCATTCGCGGACCTGCCTTACGTCATAGTGTTTAGACGTCATTTATGTCCACTGAATCATTTTGCAGAATGCAGCAACATCTTTATCTAAGTCAAAATGTGCGAAAATTTAATAGACGTTGCCAAAAATTTGAAGCAAACAAGCAGAAACATTCCTGGGTCTTTTATAAGATCAAAACACGTCTTTTTTCTTTTTGTTTCGTAGTTAAAATTCAGTGGTCCACATGACAGTTGTCACCTAGACTGTCGTCGTTGTGTCGACATGAGCTCACACAAAGCAGACGTGTCGAATGCACTGATTGGTTCAAGAAATAAGTTGGGCGATGAGCACCAATGAAATTGAGTTCCTGGCGAACCAATTAAATTACGGTCCTTGTGAACCAATCAATCAATGTGATTTCACTACGTCATTTCATCCTTCCGCACCACAGCAGCGTCCACCTTCACCAAACTTATGTGACAAAAATCGCAATTCAGACTCACAAACTGGAAGTCCGTATTTTCTAGATTTCTATTTTTGGACCGCTGTTCAACAATTTGCGTGATATTGAGGTGCCGGTATGGGACGCAGCCATATTGGATCACGCTGAGCTCAGCCCGAGTGGCCAACCAGCAGATTCAGCAGCCAACTATGTATTGGTCGGTTCTTGACTGTATTCTACAAGATTTCGGTCACTGCTGAAATGGAGTTATACACATTTTTGAGCCAAAAATTAGTAATTTCTGCAAAAGTGATAAAGTACATCAAAATGTAGTATTGATTTATTGTTTTAATGTTCATTTTTTTCTAAGTATTGCCCAAATATAATACAATCGCGACTAATGTGTTTGCTGTGTGATTAAAACGAGATGCTCAAAATGCGCGGTGTTGGTGGTGGACGCGCGGTTAATCTAAACCAAAAAGGCGCATTTGCATGTCTTGAATGCCGAATTCACCCACATACCATGTCAGTCACGAGCCAAAAGTGGTTCAGTCTGTTAATGGAATTGATCACGAAAATATCACAGATCGTACAGAAGGCGAACAACTATTTACCGCGGTAAAACCAGTCTGTTAGCTGCAAAAATGCAATTTTTATTCGTGACCTTCGAGCAAATCTAAACAAAATTTCGTACTCGCAGGGTGTTACGACTGGATGGACAAAGTACCTTACCTGTACAAGTGGTGATTTTGGTGGACAACTTGGCAAAATGTTTATTGCATTGCAAGACGGCAAAGCTTCCTCCAACATCGAGTGAAGCGCACACGGAAATTTCGCGCCAACGAGCCAGTTAGAATGACTCATCATTCACCAGTGCACGATGGACGATGGATGGGTTATGCACTTTCAGGGACTAGCAGTTCAAACAACTAAAAAGCGGTTTTACACTTGCGGAAGGCTATTTTTTTCCCACAAGACACTATTTTAAACCTTCGGCGAAGTAACTAGGCCGAACTCCTAAAAATAAGTCACTCGGAATGGTGTTTTCACAAACAAAATTACTCCAGAGTCAGCCGAGTTCTTTAGCAATTTTTTCGACTTTACAAAATTGAAATTAATAAACTATATGTTGACACGCAAATCCAAAAGACATTTTGACACTTATTTGAGTCTCGATTTTGATTGCACAAGCTATTTCACAAAACCGGAGGTATTTAAATGCATTGTTGAATTTTTTGCCACAAAGTTCTACTCCAATGACCACATTTTGGTTCAAATTGCTATTGAGGAACGGTTAACGATGTCTTCACAAATTTCGTCGTAATTTTGTGCAAAATCGGTCGCCGTATAATACGACAGTTTCTGGACGGCATTACTTTTTACACTTGTTTGACAAAATGATGCGGTTTTAAACAAAAAATCATAATTTCCACTGACACCTGAGATTCCAGCATCTTTGTTTCGCTTGCAGGTGGCCACTGCCTCCAGTATAATTTATGAAAAATGATTGGATTTGTGCAAGAAATTTAAAACGAGGGATCCTTAAATGCCGTGCATTCCCTTTTCAGTCGCAGTAGCTCAGAGATAGGAGATAATGCCTGGTTTTCCGACTTGATTCCAACATTGGAAGGACTTTTCAACAAGGCCAAATTGACACTCGCAACACGTTTTTTTCTTATTATTTTTAGCCAGAAAATATTATGATTGAGAATATGGAGGAGAAGAGGATTAAAATCATCGATTTTGGTCTGGCGCGTCGCCTGAACCCCAACGAAGTCATCCAAGACATGGCCGGAACGCCAGAATTCTGTGGTGAGTGATTCCCTTTATTCTTCTCCGTCCGAAGAACCGATAAGGCCTGCGGGTTCCGCATACGTATTTTTCACACTAAAGTCGTCAGCCTCTTTAGTTTGGTGTCAGAAAACAGGCCAATCATTTCACTAGGTCCATTTTTTTTCAAATAAATTGACATTAGTTGAATATCAGCCCTGCCCGGGTTTCTGTGGTCGTAAATTTGTGTTTGAATTGTGTTTAAACGGACACAGTGCAAGCATCTCGTTATTGGACGAAATGATTGCGTTTCGGCATCGTTGTCTCCTTGTATATTATCCTGCCCACTGATTGGTCACTGCGAGCGCGCAAATCAATTTTGTATAATCCACGCGAATTTTATTTCAAGTGCGCCCTGTGTTTAATTTGAAATAATTTAATAAACTAAATTAAAAATTGAAAAGCAAATAGCTTTCTCCATCTTTTTTCATCTCTCATAACAGGTATAGAAACCCAATTTGCAATTTACTAATCATTAAAATATTACTCATAAAATATATTTCTGTGTCCCTACATCACAACATTTTTCGCATGATAAAAGTAGGATAAATTGAGTATATTTTTACATGAGACTCATTTAAATTTTAGCGTAAAAGCATTAAATTTTGTCGCAAGATTTAAAACAGAGTCCATGTTGCAAAACGATTTTAATTGCAAAAACAGTAAGGTCGATTAAAAGTGTGATAAATTAAGTGTTTTATTCAGAATGCGCAACATTTTTTTGGAAAATTGTTGGCAAAAAATAGCGGATTCGAGGTTATTAAAAGCGTAACTCGGGGTGACTATCACAAGAGTGCAAGAAAAGTTCATCCGGCACACGCCGGCCGGTCAAATTGGCCGCCTCACGTTGCCAGCCAATCACTTCAGTAAAACAAACCAGAAAATGGTAAGCCGGTCGTTGTGGGGGCGTTTTGGCACAATTTCGTTTAGCACTGCCATGGAACCCAGCTATTGTAAGCACATTACCTGCCCTACGAGTACTAAAAGGGGGAATCACGAAGGTCACACGCACGAATGTGCCGCGCACGGACGCACGCACGCCCGCACGTGCGCACGCCTATCGATCGCAAGGGGGATTGGTGATTGGCAAAGGTCACGCCAATGTACTGCAACGCGGCTCCAGTCCCCATTGTCCACGACTGTTATCCGCACTCAGCACGCCTGTGTTTTAAATGAGTTCTTTTTTAATTAAAGACCCCGCGCAAACTTTTAAATATGGCGACATTTTTAAGCGACACCAATCAACGAAATGCAGACGCAATAAAATTTAAACTTAATTAATCAGTCTCAAATTAAACTAAAACGTTTGTTCTTAAATCTGGAAATTGCGATGCTTTTTTCCTAAAATAGCTTCACCTGATATGGTTGCGTTATTTGTGGACTTCTCTCTTTCGAAACCAAATTTACTCCAGACCAATAGCTGCCAAAAAACCATCCCCGCTACTCTTAAGCTTTTAAGTAGTATAATGGAGTGGTATAGAGACGCATTTACTTGCGTCAAGAAGCACAAATCGCATTTCCCCCTCGTCCAGGCAAGGTGTCGCATGTGGAACCTGCCGTGACCACATGTGCCCAGAAGATGTGTGTTTATTCCTGTCCCACAAACAGCATGCAATCTACAATTCTTGTTTTAGCCATCGAATGAAATCTGCTACACCGCCACGTTGTCATGGCTACCGCTGCGCTTAACCGATTTAAACAAAACTTACTTAAAATCAATAAATCGATAGAATGCAGTCGCGTCACTTTTCGGATAGGCCACTGTAAATGCCAAGAGTGAATTTCACCATATCTGGCAGCATTATTTCCCGCCGAACGCTTTATGTAGCCAATGCATTTGAAGTACACGAACAGCTGTTCGGGATAATTTCACGTTTAACTCCTTGGCCAAGGCAGACTACGCAAAAAATTTACTCATTTCATTCCCTAAGCAACCTCCCTTCTTTGAATCTAGCAACTTCTTTGTTTTAATTTATTAAAATAAAACAAATGACTGAATCGGAAAATTTCATTGGATACCAGGAGAACGTCCAAATTTTGATAGTGTACAATGTCCCAAAAGCGTGATTTCAGAGTTTTGTTTATTTAAATTAAGTAATCTGTGCGTTGATTCGTCAAATTTTGTAATTTTCTGCCATGTTTATTTTCGGCTATGCACTTTTACCTTCGCTTATCTGGGAAGAGAAATAGTTTGGTGATTCAGATAACAAAGCAGCCTGTTTAACAATCCCCATGCACACGTGTGTGTTACAAGAATCTTGAGTTAAGGAATTTTTTATCATTGGTTGTTTCTGTCGCATTAAAGTGGTGCAGAGAAGAAGGAAATATAGCAACTTATCAAATTAATGGACTTGAGGTTGGCTAGCTCACACATCTCTTTATTTGACCACGCATTTCTGCGCGAATAAGGCACTTACTACTCACAAATTCAGTACTATCTTAACCCGACTGTGGGCGTGCAATTCAAGGTGATATGAAGTCAAGTCTAACAAGCTCATCAATTAATGTGTCGTTAAGATATTCATGTTATCGGTGATGGGTCGACCTCCTATGTACTCCTCAACCTTAGATTATTAAGTAGTACTTGTGGAGGTTTGGAAGGGAATTTTTGAGCAGTTTTCAGCAACCTGAATCAAAATCAGTCATTCTGAAAGCCCTTGTCACAATTTTCACATCGGAACCAAAATCCACCTTCAGGTGTCATTTCAAAAGTGGTGCCTCGTTCCCGCACCTCATTGGCTCAGAAAACTCCCCACCAATTGGCGATTAGTACTCATGGCCAATCAGGCCTGTTTCCCAATTTGCCAGTTTTCCAGCGAAGAGAACTTGTCACATTATTCCATTATCAAAGAATTGGGCTCACTAGTTTATAGCCTTGGCAACCAAACTCATATTGAATTTTTACTAATTTACTACATAACCTCCGTTTGATTTAAACTAACTCACATAATTTGTTTACTAAGAAACTTGACGAAACACTTCCATCAAGTTCAGTTTTGGTGGATGCCTCAAGTTCTCAAACAGAAAACCATCAATTCATGAACTTGAGTAAAATTTTGAAAGGACGCCAGCTGGAAACGCTTCCTGAATGCTGCTCGCACTTTGATGTCATGCTGGAGCACGACACCGCTTCCACCAATCACCTTCGAGTATTTTGTGCCACGAAGTGCTGCTCAGTCAACCAATCAGAGCGCACTGAAATGCACTACTCCAGTTGCATCCAATCACACTAAAAGCAACAGTTTTTGGATCGTGGCGACCAGTTTTTGGTGTGGGTAATAACGGAGGTTGTTTCCGTGTTAACTAATGTTTTTCGCTGACCACAATTCACATCGCATCTTCACTAGCAGTTTGTCAAATAAACTGGACACGGGCGTGCTACACGCACAACTCTTCCTTCGACTGAAGGTCGTTGCCAATCGCACGTTCCTTCTCTTCATTTGTTTGCATATATTGCAGTTGTCCAATCATTGTTGCACTTCGATGCTATTGGTCGAGTTACTGCCTCTCGATTGGTCGGCATGGAGTCAGTCTCAATTTTGAACCAACACAAACGGCGTATCGACTTCAATGAGTTTTCGAGAATTTGATTCACCGCACTAATCAATTTTAACTGCTGCCCATGGTTTCAACCAAACCTGATCGATTGAGATCCCAAGGTCACGTTGGTGTCCAGAATGCGTGGCACTGTGCAGGTTCCCTAGATGTAAATCTTATCTAAGCCTAAATTGGCAATGCATTTATCATTGCAAAATCAACGTGCTAACATAATTTAAGTGGGTTATCTCTGCACCCTTAAGCGACAATAAATCACAGAGAAATCACTTCATTGTGCATGCTTTTGAGAAAGATCAGTCGTGTTTTTAACCTGCTTTGCGCATTCCACATCATCTGTATCTTGTTTTAACTTAAGGGGGAGCTGCTGTGAGGATATTTAATCGAAGTAGTGGCATCCCTGTTACGAACACGGAAGCAGCCATCGCCAAATTGTTGCATTTCGCCATCAGTGCAGTGCTTTCTAAGCTATTCGTGTTTTTGCCAACGCGAAGGTGTGGCTGTCAGCAACGTACACGCTGATGCGGAGGAATTTTCTTCGCGAGTTGATTTAATTTAACATAAATCCGACTTCATCAAGAAACATGTTTAGAATTGCTGCTCTGTTTGAGACATTTCTCATTTGTTAGAAATCAGACTAAATTACTCTGTTCAATTGGACGTCCATGTTTGTGCGTCCGAGCAGATAAAAAATTGTTTTTTGAAGGAGGGTCAGTGCTAGAAATTGAAATCAAAACGAGCTGAGAACATTTTTTGGACACAACTCCATGTTGTTTGCTAAATCTGGACAAAGACTTTGCAGAATTTATGTTCCGTCGTGTTCCATAACTTTTCTTTTACAAAAATAGCATTGTCCAATTACTTAGACTTTGCCAAAATCCGTATTTTTATTTCCGAAATCATGCATAAATCACTTCTGGCCCCATTTAAGACAAGTGCGCAGATTTGCCAAGTGAATGGACATAAAATTCCACTTATTTTCAAGTAGGCACACCGACAGACGTATTTGTTTTAATAAATTGGTTTAGAAAAAGATGGCTGTTTAGAGAATTACTTGACACGATTTGAATTAGAGACGGCGGGCGTAGTTCGGCTGCGTCATTGTTCAACGCTATTCACGCATAAAAGCGAAAAAGTCGCAATCTTTTGGATGTTTTTAAACGTCTTGTCTGGCAATTTCAGCTCCTGAGGTTGTGAATTTCGACCCAATCACCTTCGCCACTGACATGTGGTCCATCGGCGTCATGACCTACATCCTGTAAGTTGCCCAAGCGATTTCATTCCAGCCTTGAGGAGTTTTTGCGCCAATCGCATGTGACCAGCCCTTCTGCGAGGTGATTGGCAGATCTGTTCACCATATCGAGCTTGCTTATCCCTCCAAATCGCATGCTAATAACCATTTTCACTTTCCCTTATTTGAGCATGAGAGTTTCTGATTGGCTATGAGTTGGATTTTGAAGCAACACACGAATTAATACAATAGTTCAATTGTTTTCTTTTCAACGCTATACCAGTTAGCTTTTTAGGTCTTTGTATCTAGCAAGCGCTACGTATGATGCACGGAATTCACGAGACAGCCTTGTCCTTTTCTAACGACCATTTAAACAAGGTTTTATGGGCCTCAGTATGTGGTCTTGAACCACGCCGGGGCCATTGGATTAATCCTGGCCCGATTACGCTTGCCTAATACCCGCGATGGGGAAAACGATCGGAGAGAACGCGGACTCAACCGTTTACTTCCGATCTCAACCACGTTAGTGTCTTTGTGTCGTGTGTGGGGTTTGCGCGTGTGTATTTATACCTCGGATGTGTGAGTCATACATGCGCTAACATTGAGACCTATGTGTGAGGATAATCCAAGATAAATATCAAAGTGAATGAGGGGGAGTTGAGGATCCGCGCGGCTGGCGACATGCTGCGAAAAGGGGGGACTTTGTGCCGGAAGCTGCAGTGATCGGATTGGCGAGTGTGGATCAATGCGATCCACAACAAAGGCATGCAACAAGTCATGGAATTTGCCAGATTCCGGAGTCAAATACTTAAATTACGCCCTTTAAGTATTTTAAAGAATGCCACAATTGCGTACAAATTAAACGCGTTTAATGTTTGTCCTGTCGTAATGGATGCAAGCATCTACCCATAGATAGGCTTGTGTATATTATCACATAATTAACCACTGGCAGAATATTTTCAATGATATATTCGTTCGTCTGCTCTAACCACATGACCTTCGTATTCCCCAAATTCCTGGTTCAGAGACAAAAAGAGGATCTTGTGAAAGCGCCCAATTAATTAGCCATTAAGCGGCCTTGACAACCAGAATACTTGACAGCACAGTCCCACAGGGATGAGCCAATGAAATAAGTGCGCGGACGATGTGAATTGGTATGCAGGGTGAATCGCCCTGTTGGAAAGTATTAGTATATAAAAACCACGGAGATGCACACTGTCATTTTGGATGCTTATTTGCTTGTAGTGTGTTGATAGGCCAATTACCAAAAAGTGTTTTGTGTGGTTGGGTGCATTTGGTGTAGAGCCAAAGACATCACCGAGGCTCCGGCACCAACAGGAGCCACATTAAGTGTTTCTCAATTGTGACTGGACCAGTATCGTGGAAAAACATCGACAGCATTGGCAATCAGTCACCGAGGAAAAACCACGAACGCAAAAGACGTAGTTTTTGAGGAATAATTTCGGTAATCGCACATTTTGGCAAGAAATGTAGTTCGTGTCACTTTTAGTGAATGATTTCAGCAAAACTGCGCCTACGTGCCTGCTACAGTACTAAAAACAGTTGCTAGTGATATGCGAAAAACTATCGACTCATTGAAGATGATGCTATTCAAATTACGGACTTTAAGGTCATTCAGTTGCCATGGCAACATGATTGAAATCGGTCGAAGCCAGGAACCAATCAGAATACATCGTGAGGTATGAAAGGTTAATTAGAATGGATGCAACTTAGCCCCTTATCCCGTATTAGAAATGCTTATTTCGCGATTGATGTGCTTACGCAATCGACCAATCACGTCTCTAGACCGACTCCTGTATTTTTTACATGCAGGCTCAGCGGCATCTCACCGTTTGCTGGCGATTCTCAAGCGGAGACATTCCAGAACATTCTCGAATGCTCGGTGACGTTCGACAGGGAGGAATTCGTCGATGTGTCGCAGGAAGCACGCGACTTCATAACCCGACTTTTACGCAAAAATCCGAGGTAAGCGCAACGCTGACCTGAATGTTCATTAAAGAGTCCATCTGATTGGCTGAAAAACACTTTTCTGATTGGGTTGTAGAAAAAGGCACACTGCATCGGAATGCTTGCATCATGCCTGGGTCAAGGTAAGCCGTCTGTTTCTTCACTGATTTTCACAATATTTAGACCTAGTATTAATCAGTTTTTTATAAACGATATTAGAGTCAATTTTTTTTTTAAATTATTGAGTTTGATAAAACTCTATCTATACTTGTTGCAATCTATAATACACTTAAGATAACCAATCAGATAGTGCGTTTATACAACCTTGAAATTTGCGCTATTGACTAGTGTATCATAACTTTTCTCGGAAGAAATTTCAAAATTCTTAACATTACAAGTTTTTGCTTTTCGCCTCGCAACTACTAGGTTAGTTGAAAATTGAACAAGTTTTGTCTTAAATTTCAAAAATATTCAGTACACCACAGCGACGAATCAGCATTGCCTGGAACCAAGGGAAACGGTGATTTTTATTAATAAGATGGATAGGAATCTCGGACACTCATTGAAATTGATACGCAGTTTGTGTTGGTTCAAAATTGAGACTTACTCCATGCCGACCAATCGAGAGGCAGTAACTCGACCAATAGCATCGAAGTGCAACAATGATTGGACAACTGCAATATATGCAAACAAATGAAGAGAAGGAA